AGAACAGAGAGGAAACCAAATTTGGCAACTTTGCTGGTTCAAACTAGAAGTGAAAGGAAGGGAGTTAGCAGAGGCCTGTGCTCACCTGACAAGCCACAGAAACAGCTCTGCACAGCAACCCCGAGGGGTGGCAGACCATGCTCCCTGGAGGTCGCAGCAGCCCCTCTGTGAGGAATAGAAACATGAGGCACTACCATTGCTACTCCCCAGTTCTGGGTTGATGTCCCAACAATGGACCACGGGATCCTTCTCAACACGATGCACCTAGAAGTCATTGTCAGTCAGCTGGAATTGAACTACTGGAGCTGCCATCCTTGTCCTCGATGAAGACAAGGCTGGCTGGGTTTCCAACCACTAGGGCATTCAGCCCATGGGCCATTTCTAAGAGACGAGGATTCCATGATGGTGGGCAGAACGACCTGGCAACCAGCGGATGTTGTTCTCCGTATTGAAGACCCCTGGCCTCGATCCTGAGGGGGTTACAGATGAGGAAGCTCAGGGAGTTATAGGTGCCTGCAGACCTGAGCTTCCCCATGGAGGGAGCGAGTGGCCCCACTCAACTAGATTGCCCTTCAGATGAGGGGGTATGGCCCAGCCAGATCATTTCCAGAGGGTGAACTCCTGCAGAGGAGCCCTGTGGAAAAGCTAAGGGCTCCTTGTACTGAAGAGCAGAATGGGACAGTGGAGGGTTCAGAGGGAGGATGATGGCCTCTCAGTATTCACAGCTTACAGCATTTTGCAGGGGAAGGCAGAGCACATTCCAGTACCCCCACCTGTTACCTAGATGTCACGAGGAGGTGATTTCTGTTCAGTGACAGGAAGGACTCTGTGACTGTGGGAACTGTTTAGTAACTGACTCTGGGCCTGCGAGGGAGTCAGGAGCCTTGGTGCTGAGTGAGCAGAATCAGCTGCTGCAGACAGTGCAGGAAGGATAGTCACATCTTCAGCGGGCAGTGAGCTTTGAGCACCAGGGAATGGAGGTGTTTGCATACAGTCAGGGCCTTCTGGGGAGCTGAGAGGAGGAGGAAGGGGCTCTAGCCGTGGCTCTGGAAGGAGCAGCAGAAGAGCATGACAGCCACCCGACTGAGCCACGTGGGGCTTGGCCTATGACAAACCAGGCAGTAAAGGTGCCAGGTCCTGCTTCCTAGTGCCAGCTGATAGTTAGTTTCCTGTTTCAATAGGTTGTTGGCAGGGCTTCCTGCCTGAGCCTGCCAGAACCAACGCTCAGCCTTTTGCTGCAGCCACTCAGAAAGGAGAGGTTCTGGCCACCCTCCCAGCTGTGTCCTGCCTCTGTTACTGACTAGTGGTCTGAGGCAGGAAGGGGATCCCTAAGCTGTCTATCAAGAGACCCAGGGACTAACCTTTGCATGGCCTTGGATAAACCCTTTAATCTCTCTGAGCCTCGATGCCTTGAATAGTCAGTGGCATGTCATAATATCTGTCCATGTTTTCAGTAGGAGTGTCAGGGACAGAGTGAGGTTAAGAGGTACAGAAAGTCTTTTGAAGAAAAGACAGAAAGTGCGAACAATAACACTGATATCCGCTAAGCCCTCAGGGCATTGCTTCCTCTGGGGTTCCCTCTGGAGGGATAAGAACCTAAAGGCCAGTGTTTTCAAACATTATTTTTAAATAATTATTTATTTAATTTTAATTTTTTATTATTATTATTATTTTCATTTGCTATAGGGCACATAACTCACCAGAGAGAGAGAAAGAGAGTATGAGAAAGCAAGTCACCAGATGTGGGACTTGAACTGCAGTCAACCGTGTGGGAGTCCAGTCCCTTGACCCCTATGCCACCTGCCCCCTCCTCAAATATTTTTTTGTTTAACACCTCCTAAAAGAAATTTGACAAACTGTATGTTCTCTTCCATCTTTTTGAGTTGCCATCAAACATTGTTTACCCAGAGTTTAAGTAATTGTACAGGATATCATTTCTGGAATATTCTATTGGGTAGTTGGAAAAATCATGATGCATTTTTGCATAGAAAAACATAGGAAAAATATGTCATGACTTTTCTGACAATGCAGTATGTTTTGAAAGCGGCATTTTGGAAACAGAACAATGAACTACTGCCTTCAATGTATTCAGGGGACTCCAGACAGCACTGTTCAATCTCCGTCTCATCACTTCAGACACAGGAACGAGTTCCTCTTAACAGCCAGATATTTTCCATCTTTCCTCTTTTCTCCTTGAACTCATATTTCCAGTCCACTTCCCCCACAGGATTTTATCCTAATGTAATATATTTTTTATGCTTGAAAGTCTTTTATTGATCACTGTTTCACACTCATCAGCCACAACAAGATGTATATAAATTGAAGTTTCTTAAAAAAAAAAAAAAATTAAAAAAAGAATTTCCTGGGATCATAAAACTCTCCATTTGAAAACATTTTACTTTCCAGATTGAGTTACTAGCATAGAATTCGCCCCAAACAAATTGAGATAAATAGTAAATGTGCATGTAAAATAATATTGAAAAATGTACTTCTTAATGAAATGGATAGGGCCTTAGTTCTTGTTCAATTGGTTTGTGTATCTGTGAATTAATATTCCTTATTGGAAGAACGAGAGAAATTCGGGATTCATTTAATGCCTGTGTGTTGGTTTTTGGAGGTAGAAGGGCTTAGAAAACTGGAGCTTACATAAATCAGAAGCTGGCAACCGACAGGGTTTGTTTTCATGGTGTCACTCAATTCTTTGATCTCCTTCCAAGTTGTGTGCCAAAAATCACATGGGGGCCATCATCAGACAGTATTTTTAATGGTCTTGTCGCTGACAACTCTATTAGCTCTCTTCAATTTTGCTGAAAGCAGAGGATTGCAAACCACCCGATTTGGAAAAAGGAGTTGTTCCTAGTCATTAGAAATACTCACTTTCTCTGCCTGACACCGATATTTCCAGTTATCTCTTTGCTTGGAGTCCTGAGGTTTTACTTCCCTGAAAAGGCCCGGTAGTGGGATTAGGGGGTGGTTAGAATTATCTTTGGTTTGTAACATAGGGAAAAGGTGGAGGTGAGAACCAACCAGGGCTGCTTCCTGTCTGCCGTGCTCTCTGGCCTGTTGATGTTAGAAAGACTACATTTGGAAGGCGATGGCTTGGGGACTGGTTCTCTTCTCTGTCCCAGGAGTTTGTGCTCCACAAAAGGTACTGGGTCTCAGTGCAAACCCAGAGAGCCTCAGGACACCCACGTGTCTACAACTCCTCCTACATCCCTGTCTTGCAGCGAGCCCTGGGCCCAACTCCTGCTGCAGCTTCAAACCCAGAGGGCTGGGAACCCCTAAGCATTTGCTCAGTAAACGGCAGCTCCTCAAGTGCCCTGAGCTAATTACGGGACTACCTGTTGTAAGGAGCCAGCTCTTTGTCCCTACCCCTGTGCTTTTCTTTTCTCATTCACCTGCTCTGGAGTTCTGTCTCATTGCTTGCTGCGTATCTGAAGGGTGTCAGAGCATCTCTGGAGCCAGCTGGTGATGATAAGAGGAAAGGCTGCTACTCCATTCCTCATCCTCAGGTATCTTCCTCACCTCTCTGTAGACCCACCTGGCCTTAGCTGGTCTGATGCTCCAGGGATGGAGCTAACCCAAGGCCTCTCTCAGGTGCCCATGGAAGGCTGGGTGAGTGTTAAAATGAGTCTCCCCTGCTGGTTGCCAGGGTGGGACCTGTAGATCCTTCTTGCATTACTAGTGATAGCGGGACATGGAGCAGGGACACAGTTTGGCTCATGTGTGCCGGTGAGTCCTGCTAGCCGTGCTCTTGGCTCTCAGGCAGGGACTCCTGAGAGTCCTGTGGTGGTTCTATGGCAAGAGGCTCTGCTGTGTTGCAGAGCTGGGGGTGTTCCAGGACTAAAGAGAACATGGCTCATTTGGTGTTCAAGAGGCAGCTTATGGAGGTAAGAAGGCTCTTGCCCTGCAGGCAAGTTGGCTTCCGCCTACCTTCTCATCAGCCACTAACTGAACAGCACTACCCCTGGATAACCTGGCTTCTAGAACTTTATGCTCATCCTTGAGATCGGTGTGGTAGTGGCATTGCCCCAAGCTCATGAAGGCTTGTGGGAAGACGAAGGGTGGAATCTGAGCCGGGTGTGCTTGGTCAGTGGCAAACGATTGCACGCACCTTCTCCTCCTGGTGCTTTCCAAGAGACTGACTGTGTGGCTTTGGAGAAAGTCATGTCTGAGCAACCTCTGGCACGATGTGTTCCTGCTCCATCCTCATTTCTCTTATCCTAGGAATGGGGGTGATAGTCACCTGTGTCTGCTGGAGTTGTGAGGACGCGCCAGGCTGACCTGAGAAGCCCCTCCTCCTGGACCCTGCTCCCACACCTGCCCCCGCCTCTGCTTCCCCACCTGTACAGTGGGTCAGAGGCCAGTCCCATGCAGAAACATTGCAGATAAGATATGGGGCCTGGCACTTAGCAGGCAGGTGATGGTATTGACCGCCACCATGCACAAAGGAGAGAGAGTGGCTGGGGGCCAGCAAAGGGAGGAGCGTGCTGAGCGGGAAGCTGGACTGGGGCACTGCCTCCACTGAGCCCCTGAGGAGGTCATTTTGGGCCCTGCTGCTCCAGCCTGGGGTCCTTGGTGGCCATGGGCCAGGAGACACATCCAACATGGGTTATGTCTCCTTGGAGGGTCATTTTGTTGATAGGCTTTTGGGGAGAAAAATGTTCCCATTATAATCATGTAGTGAATCAGAATCCAGAAAAAGCACATAAAACTTCAGGGGGGTTTGGCCTATCATTGCTGCTTTTTGTCATGGCCCAGCTGCCCTGAGGAGTGTGAATGTCTCTCTTGGCCAGCACGGGGTCTTTAGAGAGGAGGCACATAGACAGTGTGGTTCCGTCCACCTCTTCAACACCTAGCTGGGGGAGACTGAGGCCCCCATAAGCACAGATGACCAGCCCACTGTGGTCGGAGCCCCTCTCCCATCCAGTCGCCTCTTCCCTCACTGCCCAGGCGTTCGCCAACTTCAAAGGCTCTTTCTAATTTCTTATGGAATTCAGATGGAAAAGCAGTCGAAGGCAGCCCTCACGGTGGACGTGTGCGAAGCCGGTGTTCAGGGACCTGGATTTTTGACCAAGCGTTGAGAGATGCATCGGGTACGTGATGGCTGAGGGGCAGGGCCTGATCGGGCCTGGCATGAGGGGGGCACAGCTGGGCGGAGCCATCTGCAGACCCCCAAGTAGGCAGGTCCTGCTAGCATCTCAGGGCCGTGAGATGGGGCCACCCTCCCTTCACCCAATCCCTGCCATGTGCAAGCAGACATGAGCCTGCCCTGGGATCCCAGGTGCATGTGGCTGTTTTAGGGATGATAAGCATTTAGAAATCTGCAAGTCTAGAATGTCTGGACCATCCCAGTAGTACTTCCTGTCAGCTGCAACTCTATGATCAAACTGAGGGGACAGAAGGGGCCCGTGGTCAAATGTGTTTGGAAGACCTGGGCTAAAGCAGAGCTGGCCCCATGACTACAGGACTTACCAGAGCCCACAGCCGTGCCCTGAGACTTTCCTCATACTGGTTCAGATGCGTTTGGGAAGCTGGTTTTCAAAGGAAACACTTTGGGAACCGTGGGTAGTCACAGTAGCTGCTCTTCCTTGAGTGGCTGGTGTACACCGGGGCCAGTGTTAAGGGCCCACGTTGTCATCGCTCACAGTCCTCTCCCTCCCCCGAGGTGAGCACATTCTCAGAGGAAACCTGAAGTGTGGGAGGTTCCTTGGTTTGTCTGGGAGCTCCCCCAGCTGGTATGTGATGAGCCAGGGTTTGAACCTAGGTTTGCTGAGCTCTCCCCACCCCCCATCTCTGTCCATCAGGCCCTTCCACAGTCTCAGTGTGCATGAACAGCAGACTCAGGTGTGTGTTCTGCCAGACCGTGGGACTTGGTCCCTAGCTTCAGCTTGCCGAGCAAGGGGACAGCCTGATGCCGAGAAGCCTCCCTGCTCCCAACATGGGGTGAGCCTGTGAGCAAGGCTACACATGCCCTCAGATGCTGTCCCTCAGGACATTCCTGGAAAGCCATAGGGTCTTGGCTTGGTTCTAAGAAGTGTCAACTCCACTGACCTCGGGCCCGGGCCCTCCCAGCATCCCCTTGCTGCCCTAACGCCATCACTCTGTCTTGTCCCTGTGCCTGGCGGCCTGTCTGCTTTCCGCTAGACGGAGGCGGAGGCCGCATCTTGCTCATCGTTGGGCCTCGGTGCCTGGCACGTTGCAGATGCTCAATAAATTCTCAGTCGGCTGAAGGGAAATTGGCAGGTGCTGTTGAAGAGTGGGTGGAGGCAGCAGGAAGGGAGTTGAAGTCATTATTACTCGGTGACAGACAAGCACAACAGCAAGACACCCTGAATTTACGGGGCCCTTGCTGTTGCCCATCACTGGGCTAAATACAAAGAAATACGCATCTTGGTCTTTGCCCTCCACGTGGTTCTCCTTTTCCCTGCATGACAAGGGTGATCCACGTGCAAACCCATAAATAACAGACCTCTCTATTTCGTTGCTGTGAAGATGACAGTGTCCCCTGGAGGGACTCACAGTAGCCACAGTGGCACTGGCTAATTTGCCAGCCGACCCGCCCGTGGTATTTCCTTGTTTCTTGCACCAGTCCTGGC